TCCCCACCTCGGTACCAGCCCCCCTCTGTCCCCTGGATGTCCCCCCCTGCTCGTGCTTGGGACTGTCCCCAATGTCCCCATTGTCCCCCCAGTGTCCCCAATGTCCCCCCAGTGTCCCCAATGTCACCCCAGTGTCCCCAATGCCCCCCCAGTGTCCCCAATGTCACCCCAGTGTCCCCAATGTCACCTCAATGCCCCCCAAGTGTCCCCAATGTCACCCCAATGTCCCCCCAGTGTCCCCTTGTTCCCACAGTCCCTCTAATGTCCCCAATGTCCCCCCAATGTCCCCAATGTCCCCCCAGTGTCCCCATGTCCCCACTGTCCCCAATATCCCCCCAGTGTCCCCCCAGTGTCCCCAGTGCCACCTGCTCATCCTCTGAACTGTCCCCGTCGCTGCCCCTGGTCCCCAATGTCCCCAGTGTCCCCAGTGTCCCCCAGTGTCCCCAGTGCCACCTGCTCATCCTCAGAACTGTCCCCGTCGCTGCCCCTGGTCCCGTCCTCGGGTCCCTTTTTCCGGGGGGGCTCCGGCGTTTTCCGCCCTCTCCGCCCGCTCCGGCTCCTTCTCCTTGTCCTTCTTCACGTCATCCGTCAGCTGGGGGGCACGGGGGAGGTCAAGGGGTCCCCTGTCACCCTCCCCTCAGCACCCAGGGGTGCCCCCCACCCTTAAAAACACCCCAAATCCGCCCAAAACCGTCAAAGCCCCCCAACCTTAAAACCGTGTAAAATCCACCCAAAACTCCCCCAAAATAAGGGATTTGTCACCTGTGGGTGCCCCTGGGGGATGTTTGGGGACCCCCTCGTACCCCCCACCTGCTCCGGGTACCCCGCCCTCACCACAGGAAATACCTTAAAACCACCAAAACTCTTCCAAAATAAAAGATTTTATCACCTGTGGGTGCCCCTGGGGGACATTTGGGGACCCCCCCACGGCGTTGCTCTCCCCCCAGCACCCAAAGGTGCCCCCCCCTCGCCCCAAAACCCCCACCTTGAAGGCCTCGAAGATCCTCTTGAAGAAGACGAAGTTGGGGTCGTAGATCTCGGGCTCCTCGGTCACGTACTCGATCTCCACCTCGGGGGGGGTCTCCCCGGGGGTCTCGGGGTCCCCCCTGGGGGGGGGTGGGGGTGGGGGGACCCTCCCGGGCCGCGCCCCTCCCCCCACGCTTCTTCTTCTTCCGGTTCCGGCGCTTCCGGTTCCTCTGGGGGGGGGGGGACACGGTGACCCCAGGGTGGGTCTGACCCCCCTATTGGGGACCCCAGGGTGGGCCTGACCCCCCCCATGGGGACAGAGGGGACCTCAGGGTGGGCCTGAGCCCCCATTGGGACCCCAGGGTGGACCTGACCCCCCCATAGGGACAGAGAAGACCCCACGGTGGGTCTGACCCCCCTATTGGGGACCCCACGGTGGGTCTGACCCCCCCCATGACAACAAGAGTGACCCCAGGGTGGGTCTGACCCCCTCCATGGGGACCCCAGGGTGGGCCTGACCTCCCCCAAGGGGGATAAAGGGGACCCCAAAGTGGGTCTGATGCCCCCCCATGGGGACAGGGGAGACCCCAGGGTGGGTCTGACCCCCCCCC